CAACTACCAATAGGTGAGCTCTCTCCAGCACAAGCAGGAAGCAGCGAAACAGGTATACAGAATCTCAGGTACATTAGACAGACATGGAGGCGACTCAGAAATTACAGCGGGTACGGCTCACGGTCCAGTATTAACAGTACAGAGGTATAATGCTTTGAACACAGCTTGCACTGCACTTTAAACTTACTATTCTATTTAGCACTACTCTGTCCTATTGTGCAGTGATGTGTATTTATTCAACATAGAAAAACATTTTGCAAGAATTACGCTCTTGATTGCATTTATCCTCTGTAATACAAAAGCACATGTACGGCAGTGAAATGTAGGGAAATAGTGTCTTGGAAATAGTGACCCTACAAGGTCCCCTGTTTTTGCAAAATAATAATCTTTGACTGACACATTGTCTTCAGATATGAGTGTAGGGTTAATATAGAACGCCGTAGGAGCGACACCGCTGCCTCGCTTTTGTCTGCCGTGCTGATATTGCCATGTTGGCTTGCAGGCGAAATAATGTTTTGCTTAGGCACCACTTTATTCCGGTTCATTTACCGTCGCAGTCGAATTTAAACAGACCTTGGGGAGTGGGAGGTGCTTTGTGCTTTATGGTCTCTGGAGGAAGAAAATCACCCAGCAGTTTTCGTACGGCATGGTAACTCACTACATGGTCGCAGGACACAAGAGTACTCACAATGAGGTAGGTCCTTAAGAGGGAGTTTAGTCAATCTATCTGGAGATACCACGTTAAACATAATAGTACAACACTAGCTTGATAAGTGTTATTTTATGTTTTGCATTTTTTTCTATTTGACTTCATACGATTGTACTCTAGCCATGGTCAAAGTGAGCAGTGTAGATTTAATTAGAGCTTTAAATTTTAACAGGTTGGCGTACATTTTATAATAACGGCATTTTGATATATGTTTTCTTCACCTGTCATCGTCAATAGACTGTGCATACATTTTAAACGACAAAAATCGCTTTTTTCCGTGTCTTGAAATGTCACTATAGGCCACTATAGAGTGGACAAAACACTTAAAAATAACAAATAGATTTGAGACCAATTTAGTCTAGGTATTAAAAAAAAAACCGCTCTGCTGTAATTGGTATTAGTACGAACAAAAAGGCCTAATTAAAACGAAACAATTAAGAATATAACATATATTATACTGACCGTTTTTTTTATTGCGTTGATGAACAGAATACCCACACCGCGTCTTTTTCAACAGTAATATTTTAATAGATGGAAGACAGCAGCTTTAACTGTTACAAAAGAACCCGAAAATGAATATGAGACGAACTTTATGTGACTACAGATGCTCAAATTTACATTTTGAAAATTATGTATAAGACCTCCTCTTCCTTAACTTAGCACGTTGTATCATTGTTCTTTGAAATATTATCACAATAAACAACAATATGTGCGGATAAAAAATGTGAATACTGTATGAACAGACAAGTAGCAGGATTTATAAACTTGGTCTATATGTTATACTATGTATCGCGTTTTCTTTCAGTTGCTAACATTTTAAGTTACATATACGTTGCGCGCATTTCTAAAACGAACCGAGGAAATTTTAAAACGGATGCAAGCAAAACTGAGAGGACATTAAAAAAGGAGTACTATTTCTTTACGAACACATTTCGTGTGAACGTATACCTTCCAAATGAGCCGCTTAAGACTTGTTTATAAGCGTTAAGTTTCCTGCTTATTTCGATGGAAAATTTAAATAGGCCTATCTGAGCCCCGGAATATCTTCAAAGTAATACCAATGCGTGCTTCCTTGGGTATACTAACGATATTTAGATTTAAACTGATGAATTTATTTGTGGAAACGGTAGTTTATTTATAGCTCCTTGGACTTAATGTATGACTATTATTTGTTTGCCATGCTTATCAAAGCATGTTATGCAGTATAGACTAATGTGCAACTAGTGTTTTTACACCGGAAAGGTGGAGATTTGGATTACCACCCCCACAACTAACTGAAAAAATTCACAACTTTAAAGGACTAGGTCACCATTTTCCCCCACGTAACTGAAGGGTGTGCTCGTTACCTGAGGGGGTGCAGGATAGTCGGCTCTGCCGGCGTTTTTCACCCTGCGTTTCTCTGGTGAAGCACTAAGGCATGCCTTCCCTTGTGAAAAAATAGTGTACTGAAGTATTTACTTAAAAAATACACTTGGCACAAAAAATATACTTTCAGCAAAGTCTATTAAGTGTGTTTTATCCCTAAAAAAATGTACTAATGTGTATTTGATTACACACATACTTTTATTAAAGTGTGCTTCAGTGTACTTAATTATGTTTAAATGCACAATATATTTTCTAAAAGTACACAGAAGTATAATGTCAGTGTATTTAAAAAAAAAAAAAAGTGTGTAAAGAGAATTGCATTTTTATGACACTTCTAGTGATCAAAGCACACTGTTAATACACTTTAGTGCACTATTTTTTCACAAGGGTTGACTACCGTGTGCGTGTGAAAACTGTAAAAACCGATCATCTGCTGTGTTGCCTACCGCTTCCTAATTTCTCACTGCCATGTGAAAGCTGCTTCTAACAGCAATTAAATTAAGCACACGTAAAGTTTTTTTTATGAGAACCATTCTGTCTCATGGGTGAAGTTTTTGAGAATGTAGGAAGCTCGTTAGTTCTGTTATCCTGATTTTAGACTAAAATCTGAAAAACTTGTTTTTAGTGGTTGTGTTGGTAATATACTATTAGTCCTTTTAGTTTGCATTGTTAGAAGTAGTTGTGTGGCTCCTACTCCAGTACTATGTACACTTGCAGTAGAGCACTCATAGGAAGCTCAGCCTAGCTGTGCTTAGACCTATTTGAGCCCTGGGCAGCATGTATGTGTTATTTGTCTCACTTGTATGTTGCTTTGGGCAGAGTTACCTGCTAAATGCTCTATTATATTGGGGGTGTCGTGGTGACTTAGGAGGCAGTGCTGTACCACCCGGTACGGGGGTCTGAATCCTGCCCAGCTGTGTGTGTGGAGGTTGTATACGTTTTCCATGGTGCGTGGGTCTGCTCCACAGCTTCCTCCTGCACTCCAAGAACTTGCAGCGTGAGTCATGGTGAAGCGGCAGCCACCTTTCAGTGCCCAAGAAGCTGGGGGTTGAAGGCCTTCCTCAAAGGCCCATGGATATGCGGCTGGTCTGCTGAGGCTGGGCTCGACCCAGCAACCTTTCAGTCACGGGCACAGAGACTTATAAAATTATAGATGTTGTAATAACAGAATTGAGAGTATCATTCTGCATGCCACTCCCCTCAACCTTTTCACAAAAGGTTGAAATTAGATCCTTGATCAGTCAAATATATGCAGAAAAGCTAAGATTCAAATATGTTTCTATTTGTTTATGTAAAATACGGATGTGGCTCCAGTATGTGTGTGATAATACAATGAGATTTTAAAAGTAGGGACACATGCTCGACAGGGATGGGGGGGGGGTTCCTGCTCTGTAGGTCATATAGGGAAGGCTAATGTTTGTTTTGGGTGAGAAGGTTCACAAATTCTTCAGGCACAGGGGTTGGATAACTTCATGCAGGTGTTTAACAAGACAGCTGGGAGGGACGAAGTGAAAGGCAGCGATGTCGACACTATTCAAATGCTCAAACGACACGATTGATTTTATCAGTGCGATACTGTAAATACAGGAAATGTCAACTGGCTCGCTTCAAAGATCTGATTGGCCAGGTAAAGCTGATTCCGCATATTTCCTAATGGTATCCCAAGATGAAAGAACAGATTTACCCTAGTGTATAAGGCTTATGGCTGTAAATAAAGGCTTGTTGGTTGGTACAGTCAGGAAACTTCATAGCTGTAACCATTACTTCGTGCCTTGAGGGGCAGGGTGATGGGCACCACGGTAGGGCTATTTCCTGTAACTGTAGCCCTTAACAACCTGCATCACAACGAGAGGAAAACATGCAGGTCACAACAAGTCCAAGCAGAATTTACTGTCGGCTTCTCCTCCCCAGTTTACCTGCGTTGTGGGCGCTGAGCTCACTCAGCCTGGCTGCGATTATTTTTGATTATCATCCCCCAAACTGGGAAACGACATCTTTGGAGGGCAGCGTGTCTGGGCTTCGTTCAGACACGACTCTGTTCTGCCTCGCTGTTCGCCCGTTTTTGCCAGGTTTGTGTTGTCTGACTGCACTCAGGAACCAGTGCTTCTGTTTTCCATCTGTTCCTGCATCTCCTCTTTATATAGCAAGTCGGGATGCGCATCTCCGTCACTGAGGCCGATGCGAAACACCCAACGCATTGACAACGATCTGAGTAAAGATACATATGAAGCAAGTACCAATGTGACATGATACGATTCACCCCTATTGCGATGCAGTGCGATTCAACACCTTCTCATTCAACTCAATGCGATGCAAAAAAACATATGATGCTTTGCAATGATACAGGTAGTTTGACAGCAGTGGAGAACTGGAGATGAGACAGTGCGCTTGTGAAACAGTTTAGAAAGGGGGAAGCAATCTTAATATGACATTGTTGGTAAAGAATGATTGGTGGCATTTCTAATTGATAAAGGCATCGGGCATAATTCTGTATTAATAAATCAGATTTTGCCAATGCAAAGATGCTGGAAATGATGCATTCAGAGTTCCTCCCAAATCCTACCTGGTGCATATTAAGTGGCTGTCACGTCGTTAAATTTTTTTGGTGGTGCACCGATGTAGTTCAGTGTCACGATCCCTAATGGTCAGATTTACGTCTTTGTTTGAATAACTTGCCAAAATAGTTGTCTCTTCTTGTTCCCGTCCTTTTTTATAGCTGGCACATCTGTCTCTCGCCATTTCAACTGTGAGGCCAGGAAAGATAAGATGGTCCTGGGACTTAGTACACAGTATAATAATACCATGGTAACAGGGCTGTAACCTGGCATAATACCATGGTAACAGAGCTGTAACCTGGCATAATACCATGGTAACAGAGCTGTAACCTGGCATAATACCATGGTAACAGAGCTGTAACCTGGCATAA